ATACACGGGACTGAAATCGGCTTCCGGTTCTTTGGTAATACCTTGGGATGCTTGATATGTTTTATGCATGTCTCCCAGTTGCGGGACGACCGTGACTGGATTGCGGCAAGCAGCGGTAACTATCAGATATACTCATGTACCTACCTCTTTCCATCCTATAGCCATTGACATGGAGCAACCACGCCGAGGTCCCTTCCGCCTGGTGACGGTAAACACCGCACCAGAGCGAGCAAAGAAAGTCATCGGACGCATGATTGAAGAGTTGGATGGCCACTATAAGATTGATCATGTCGCCAATTGCACTAGCAGGCGAATGACCATCCTATATATACCAACATCCTGCTAACAGCTTCAGAGATAGATGAAGTTGCATCAACAGTACGGGAACATCAACCGGAGGTTCTTGTAGACTTCCTAGACACAAATTCCTCCGATCTGACCTACGGCTCACGTAGAACAGTTCTCAGCATCGATGTGGACACCGGAAGAAGTAGCAAAGATACACAGTATTGCCAAAAGCGAAAGACCCGGTATTAAAACTCATGCGTTAGCTCAGGGCTGCAAGTACAACATGGGCCGGATGCGGTAGTGCAGTATTTACTGGAGGTAGTTCCGGGCTTGTTGGACAGTATTGAGAGATGAACATGTGTTACCAAGATTTTGGCTGTTCTCAACATCTCTGTACCTATACAAGTTTCCATCTTCCTGCTCAAGTGTAACCGTCGTGATGATCGAATGCAGGGACCAGGACCGCGCAACCGCCCCCCCGCATAGGTATGCCGAAGTCCCCCAGTATCGCGTGTGCGTGTCATGACGATGGTGGGGCTGAAAATACACTAGGTAGTCGTTGCCCCGCCCACACTGCCGGTAGTGGGGTACCTGACAACAAGTAGGTAACTTCTCGTCCCAAGTCCGCTCGGAATAAAATGGTGTCACCGAAATCAATTCCCATTTCTTCATTGCTGAACGCTGGAAGATGCCGTCAAGCCTCAGCCGTTGACGTGTTGCGCTTTCCCTAGTCGAGCGAGGAAGAAAAGAAGGCACCGGTTAAGAGTTCTCCCGGCAGACGTGCACGGGAAAGAGCTTGAACTCTGTGGGGAAGTTTGGGGAGCTTTGAAAGAGGGCGGTGTTAGCGGTATAGAATCTAGGCAATAAGTGGTGTTTTTTTGAGAAGCTTGGAAGATCCTCAATTTTGCGATCATATTGCATACCAACCACATATCCTTACGTGGTCCACAAAGACCTTCCATTGCTGCCGCCGGTGTCAGAGGTAATTACCGGTGCTTTGGAGGAACTGAACTTCACACATACACAATGGCGGAAAACATACGGATAGCAATCGTCGGCGCAGGTATGCATAACTCACAAACCTGCCATGCCTTCTCATTCACCTACCGGTACTAACGCTACCAAGGCATGGGTGGTCTCGCCGCCGCACTCTCCCTCGCAAAAGCCGGCCACAAGAATATCACAGTCTACGAAAACGCCACAAACATGGGTTTCGTCGGCGCCGGCATCCAACTCGCGCCTAACATGGCACGCATCCTCGACCAGCTAGGCTGCTGGGGCCCTATCCGCGATGAAGCCGTCCAATGCGCCAACACATCGATCCGGGAAGGGTCAACAGACAAAGAACTAGGTTTCGTGGATCTAGGCTACGTGCGCGAGAAGTACGGATACCCCCACATGGTTGGCCACCGCGCCAGTCTAGCAAACGGACTATACGATGGCTGCAAGAAAGAAAGCGGCATCACATTCAAACTAGGAAACATCGTAACCGACGTGCGTTTCCTCCCAAAACCAACCTTCACCGTAACCCCGTCCTCAGGCACCGGTTCACCGCAAACCGTCGAATGCGACATCCTGCTGGGCGCGGACGGCGTAAAGAGCAACACACGTGTAGCCATGCTCAAAGAACTAGGCCACACGGGCTCAGCACGCGATTCAGGGCAAGCCGCGTACCGCATCATGCTCACCCGGGAGCAAATGCAGCACGACCCCGAACTCGTTAAGCTCCTCGATTCCGACACCGTGACGCGCTGGATCGGCGAAAAGAAACACATCATTGCATACCCGATCCACAACAAACAGATTTACAACCTGTCGACTGCGCAGCCGGATACCAATTTTGCGGGCGCGCCCGATGCACAGTATACGACCAAGGGGAGCAAGAAGGCCATGCTGGATTACTATGGCGATTTCTGCCCCATGATTCATCGCATGTTGGATCTTGTGCCGGAGGGCGAGGTCGTAGAGTGGAAGCTACGTGTGCACGATCCGTTGCAGACGTGGGTTCACGGTGCTACGGCGCTCATGGGCGATGCGTGTCATCCTACACTGCCCCACATGGCACAGGGTGCTGCACAGGCTATTGAAGACGGTGCTGTGCTCGGTGTTGTGCTGAACCCGGGCCGGATTGCAGATGGCAAGCCAGCGACGATTGAGTATGCGCTGCGGCTGTATGAGAAGCTGAGGAAACCGAGGGCGGAAGCACTCGTTGAGTTGGCGGCAGAGAACGGGCGCGCGATGCATCTTGGTACTGGCAAGGCGAAGGAGGAGCGCGATAAGATGTTTGCGGCGCTGAAGTCGGGGGCCGGGACCGTGCCGGATAAGTGGGCTGATGCGGATATTCAAGCTCAGGTCTATGGTGTGAACGTGATTGCTGAGGCGGAGGAATTGTGTCAGAAGGAGGGGTTGGGCTCGAAGCTGTGATTGGGGTTCTTGGTGACTAGATGTTGGTCTAGTCAGGAAATACTCGAAATCTCGAATCGGAATGTCGTTATTGAGTGGTTGGGTCATGCGCAGAAGAAGCATGCGGCTGTTGTGATATCGAAGTTTTACGTTATTAACGATAGCAGATGGTAGTTGCTATATTTACATGAATCCTGTAGGCATATCCTAAGTCCTAAACGCCAGATGCTATGATTGATCCTTCAAGACGGCAATTGCTTGTTTCCACCCTGTCGCTTCTCGAGATACACGAGTTGCAGCATTTTTGGGCTGCATCGATGACTGCTCGTGGCCTGGCGGTGCGACTCGCGGCATTCAGCGCGCGTGTTGTTCCTTCTTCTCTTGTTCCTTCCTTCCATCTTCTTCCCCAGAAGCGTGCATGCTTCCTTCAGCGCGAAGCTGGTGATATTTCCCTAATCCTAGACAATCTTTTCCTTCATTCACTGCACTTCGTAGAGCTCCATGGCTCTCTCCAGATCCTTGATGCTTCCCTTGTCACCATAGGCCTCTTCCAAGATCCTGTTCCTATCTTTTTGGCTGGAGACCTTCGTGTCCATACCCGCAATCGCCCTCTCCATGTCTGCTAGGCTTGAGCGCTCGCCGTACAAGTCCATGAGCACCTGGTTCTTTTGCTCTTGTGTGAGTTGAGGCGTCGCATTGACTTTGCGATTAGCTTCGTTGAGTGCATTGGTTACGCCAAAGCCTATGTTAGCATTAGCGTCCCCGAGCGTGAGGGTCCGGCGAGGCTTGGAGGAGGAGAAGATCGCGTTCTTGGGCAGATAGATCATACCGATGGCTATCATGGCCATGGTGGGCAGATACCTGAGGTTTGTTAGTATTGATCGGTGTTTGGTATGAGATGAGGATAAAGGACTAACCATCGTGCTACTCTTCCGAGCTTTGGGACGCCACTAGACGTCGATGTTATGTGGGCTGCTGCTGCATCTTCCATGGAGATGACATTGCGAGCACGTGCTGATGTGGTGAAGAGCCTTTGACGGACGAGCGTAGATGTGCGGAGGAGGAAAGACATGGCGATGGTTGTGTGATGTGATCGAGGCTGGTGAATGTGGTAGGCTTAGTTGGACTTATACTGGTCCGGACTTGGTCTGGTGTTGGAACTGTATCGGCCGCGGTTGGCTTTGATTAACCGATATTGAATTGATGGCTGTAACTTTTTGTACCAAGAAAACGTCCCAAAAGAAGGACCAAGGGCTGTATATACGACAGCCTCATGCGGGGAAGGTGTCACGAGTAGGCTGTGCCCATGGTCTCTCCACCCGCACCCAAAGATCAGCCCACGAATTACAGCACTTGACGTTACGCTGCTCCGCGCTGGAAAGGGACAAGTCCGTCCAATCCGACAAAGTGTCGCAGCCCGAGGACCCGCTTTGACGTGCCGCGTCGTTGGGTGTGCATTCTCCCGGCCGCGCATGTATCTCGGGTTGTCTTCCTGCATCAGTTCGCGGCCGCCTGAGAGCGGTTCTGATGGTGCAACAGGAGCCAGCGAGAACCAATCGCGCGATGGGAAGCGTGAAGTAAGCCTTGTGGGGTTAGCTGATGCCTTGATTGTGGTTAGATGAAAGTCTCGCGACTGTGGGGTGAGCGTGCCGATCGCATGGCTAGCCGAGGTCCCGAGACCGTTGATGTCAGCGCGCATGCCCGTGGAGTGACCATGATATCGACATCACCAGCTTCAACAATGCCGCATCCGTCATTATTGCAACCCGCGAAGAGGTCTGCCAAGAGGAGCCTGCTCGCGTCGTCTCAAAATGACCAATCTAGCATGTTGCCGGACTAGATGCACGACAGTTACGACACCGCCCAGCAATATCCAGTGGATTCCACCCTATGCAACTTTCCATCTATGGCCAGACTACGCATCTACACAGTCGTTGTTGTTAAGCTCGCACCACGGGATAACGTAGCTTTTTTTTCACGTATGTTTATAGTGACAGGACGAGATGACGACGAACAGGCAGCGAAGCCCTTCATCTACCGAGAAGGCCCTTTTGGGTCAGGAAATAATACATCGAGCTCCTGCAGTTCAGTATAGAAGGGACCTCCCACAACTCTGCACCTATACAATGCGACTTCTATGGTCCTAAAAACGACTGGGTATTAGTCACTTTGACCGTAACCGCGTTTAAGATCGTACGCGACCACCGAAATCCTCTCAGAAGAGTGCGAACAAAAAGACGAGCATTTCAACGACCGATAGTGACAGCAACTACCTTCACCAACACCTGCACAAGCAACAAAAAACTGGATACTGCAATCGAGGTTCGAACTCGAGACCCTTCGCGCAGACAGACAATTTGTGAGGCGAATGTCATAACCGCTAGACCATTGCAGCTTGTATTTGATTGGTCGGTTTTGAAATCTATACCTTGTAATTCTCGATCATTTCCTGGTTGCGAGGCGTTGCAGAAGATTAGGAGCAGGACCGAAATTGCAGTTGCGAAAAGTACAGCGTGGGGAATGTAGGAATAATGTTGCGGTGTATATCTGTAATGGTCAAAGGGTAAATGCGCGAGGCAGTGAATCAAAAGTATTGTGTATTGTCTGGTGTGTTCCGTTCTGCTCGTGCGGACCTCCTAGAAGGCCAGCAGCAGGGTCTGTTTACATGACGTATTTAAGATACAGCTGAGGTAAGAGGTATTCGATAAGTGAGGAAGTAGCACCAGAACACCTACACGTGATCTGCTTCCCATAACCGTAACAAATAACCATGGGCAGATTGTAGGGGAAGGGGCAAGACTTCAAGTAGAAGTTCCTTCCTTACTGACGGCCTACGGCAACAATCAACAATCAAAGTGCGCATAACTGTAACTTCTTTCGTAATGCACCATGAAGAGGTAGAGGCCAGACTGGACCCTCGTCAGACACCAGCATCAAACACACATCAATTATTTTGGATATCAGATCTTTAGGTCATCACGTTTGCTGCCGTTCAGTTGTACCATGGGATGTTCACCGATTCATGGGTTTAGGATTCCACAAGGGGTCCATAGGACGTGTTTTGGGATCTGCCTTGCTTGCTCATGTAGTCTTGTAAGTTTGCTCTCTTCTATCTAGCACGTCGACGTTTCATATATACATCGTCGAAGTTCGAAGAGTGGTGTGCCATTCCCAGCCCAGGCCCTACTTCAGCTCATCAAACAGATCGCTGCGGACGGCCCCGAGGGCTAAAGGCTTTTGGCCACCCGGCATCAAAGAGAAAGCAGGGAGCGGCTCTATTTTCCGTCTAGTGTTGCCCTGCCCTAAAGCGCGAGCACAAGGCTGACTTTTCGACCCACAATATACTAGACGTCGTCACATACGAGTAAACATGCGAGAGATAGAAAACAGCGTAACAAAAAGTGTAACAAGAGATGGTGAATGCGTCTTACATCAGGTTAGCAACCATTGAACCTGTGGGACTGTAATTTTTCCGCCAACCAGTAGAGCGCTAGCAAAGACATTGCCAAAAGCTCCTTGAGCCTGCCCTGAGCCAGCAAAAGGTTTCTGTATGGCAAGCAAGACAGATGGAAACGCTCCCATCTTATATCCAGACATTGTTTTTGGGCAAATGATCCTTGCGTTGCCCGTTGGTATTGATTCCACCCAGGTAACGAGTTCAGGAGTCCATTTCGTGTCCCATGTCGCCACAGCAACCAATACAGATGTACCTGAAATGTCGTCGACAAGAAGCTGAAACGCCAACTTATTGTCCTCTTCCGCATCCGAGCCAGCTGGGCCATACAAGGACTTGCGGACTAGTTGTCGAACCACTGCTGTATACCACGGACCAACAAGACCAGAGCCATTGAATTTGAAGAAGTACGCTGCTTCGGTTGCGCCCTCTTCACGAGCAAGATATTTGGGAGCCCAAGAGAACGGCTGGGGAAGACCACGCAAGCTATGCATCGAAGCTAGCATGGCCACTTCTTGTGGTCGAGAACGATAGATGTGCATGATGCCGTCTTCGTATGTCCAATCCTTCTGCCACTGCAGCCCAAGCAATGCGTAATAGCCACGCGCGTAATCCACGTCGTTTTCAGTGTTGCGATTCGTAGAGGACAGTGCGATGTCTGCCAGATTGATGCCGCAGTTATGAAGGGGCTGCAATCGATTGAATGTCTTGAAGAGGCTGTTCCATTTTTCCTGATTGACTTGAGCTTGCTGTCGCAGAGCAGAGAGTATGTCTGAATAGCTAACGACGGAGGTAGCGGTCACTATCAACGCCTTTCGGGCTAGCTTTGCTTCCTGGTAGGTCCAGATACGCGTCAACCACATCCCGCAGACTAGCGCTGCAGCGACTCGCAGAGGATCTCCAGAGGGAAGGTTCAGAGGAAAGGCATCCAGTACAATGACCGCGTCTGCGTTGCGATACACCGCCTGAAGGCTGTTGATGATGAGGGTTTTGACTTGCGTCAACCGAAGGTTACTACTGCCGGGATCTGACTTCTTGGGAATAGCCAACAGATCGAGCCATATCCACTCGTAGCCGCACTGAAGCGCCTTGTTCATGATCTTGTTGAAATGCGACATCAAGAGACCTCGCTCATCCTGCTGAATCTTTTCATCATTGAACTGCAAGCCCATTGTCTCTGCCCAAACGTGCGAGACAGCCGCATACGACGAACCAAGTATTCGAAACCGCCCCCACTTGTTTACGCACAGCGCTTGATTCCGCCGCCCAGCCTCCTCCATCAAATCCAAACTTGCGGATACAAAAAGCGATGAGCTGACTACCTGCTTGTTTACGTCTATGAGTCCCGATATGACTTCTTTTCGCTTCTCTTTCGCCATCATGGGCATTGTCAAGGGCGAGGTGGCGAGCACCAATGCGTTGGCGGCACCCATGATTGCTACTTTTCCGGCCAGCTCCGCGAAGCGTCTATTCCCCAGCGGTGGATACCGACTATCAGGTCCCAAGGGATAGAGTCGTCGATCTGGAAGCGGCGGATAGTCATGGAACAGTGCAGCGACTTCCTCAAGAGTCCAGTTGCGGAATTCTTCAAGAGAGGCTTGGAGAGCTCGGACGGGTCCAACATAATTGGTATGCAATAGCTCTCTTATTTTGGCTCTGTGAGCCACAGCGGCTTCTTCCTCGTTCGTCAAAGTGAAAGACGCAGGAGTCAAGGCCATCTTGGCAATGATGTGTCATGTAAAGAGTCGAAAACGAATTTTCTTGAGTTGCGCCTTTCATGGTTGTTAGAAGTTAGAACACATATTTATACTGTGTAAGCCAGGCAAAGATTTCTAAAGCATGGGTCTAAAGGTGTGATTGGTTTTGCCAGTACACGTCGGCGTGAGCGAAATTGGCTAATGCTGGTTCAGCTGGTTCAGCTGGCTCAGCTGGGGCCACAATCAACGTGCTCATTCGTCTTACTATTGGCCAGGGTCACAGCACCAAACTTAGCGTGTCTCGTAATCTTCGTAAGGTACGCTGATATCTCTGGGCGTGGTTTTCTGGTGTCCTGCCACGTGCGTCGTTCTGCATATTCCCAGCAAAGTCTTATTATAACCCCATCCACAACACTACCCATTATTGCGCGAAAGAAAAGAAGAACATTAATGTGATCTGATTCCCTTTCATCAACCCAACAATCGCCATTTTGCTTCCTAGTCCTCTTTTCGACGAACAGTAACGCGCGGCCTCGTGATGCCCGCACTCGTTCCCCGCCGCGTCCTCGCATTCGGGTCCTCGTCTGAGGAATTCGCTGCGCAATGGGAAAATCCGGCGGACGTCTTCTCTGTCCTTCTCATACTCGGGGGTGATGTGGTTGCTCGTGCCCTCGCACAGCTTGCTGGCTCCGGCATCACGCCCGTCGCGTTCTCATTTGGTAAGCCTCAATGCTCCAAGCGAGGGCTTGTATTTTGCAGCTGGCTGTTCCACACTTGCTTTTGTGTAACCGCTGACGTTCTCATTAGGATGGGTATCTTATGCCGTTACTGCCGTCGTCTCTGCAGTCGGTGAAAACAAGCTTATGCCGCTGCCGGATTGCGCATGCAAGGTGATCAACGGAAAGTCTGGCTACGTACGAGATAACTGCAGCTGGGTTCTCGGTCGCATTGTGCGGGACTATGAGAGCTGGATGGATGACGGCAACCGCAACGGTCCAATACATGCATGTGTCGCCAGAATCATCGAAGAGAAATGGGCATCCATGACTTCAGACGGAATCATTGTTGAGCGACCAGCACAAGCAGGCCTTTGTGTGTCCGTGTATGATGCAATGCAGGTCCGACCGGGCCGTCTACGACCTGGTGCTTACCTTCTTGGCCTTACAACCATTGTGCTACAGCTACTCGTGGCCGCGATTCCGTGTTTCCTATTTGGAGGCTGGGCAATCCTGCTAGTCACGGTTGTAGGGACCGTCTTGGCCCTTTTTAATGGTAGCCTCTCGCAGTGGGCAAAGGAGAAATGGGCCTGTCGGAGGAACACTTCCAAGACCGTCGTCCTGACTAAGGGCAACGGCAGTCAGCATGCTATTGTGGTCGTTGGGTGTGGATTAGGCTTTGACCTCGAGGATCTGGCCGCAGGGCCTGTGAACGTCAATGTTTCCACGTCTAATATGACGCGGATCACAATCATCGGACTAGCTACGTGCTGGATTCTCCTGCTCATCACCGCTGCAGGCATTCAAGAAAACACCTGGTTCCTTCTTGCTGTTGGAGGCATCGGAATCATCCAGAACATCTTTGTTGCCGGTCGAAGCCGCCGCCCGGAAGACTTCGGCGTACCTCTGAAGTTTAGAACTGTTATTGGGCATCCGAAGGTTATGGATTGTTTGTTTAAGGTTGAGACCGCGCTGCCCTACGTCGGTCGCAGCATGCTCGAGACATTCTTTCCTGGCAAATTGAGAGCTGACGAGAAGGAGAAATGGGATGAACTAGAGGCCAGCGCTTCTAGTCGCGCGGAAGCCGGAACTGGAAGGATATGAGGTGCGTCTTCGTCTACTTGAGTTAGGCCATGGACAACATCATCATTGTTGAGGCCACTTCAGCTGTTCGTTTAAAGCAGGAGTTTTAGTTGATGAATGACTAGACAGAATCCCCAGGGTTTTGAATAAGATCAGACTTCCAAATCTGGCGAAAAAAGACACTGGTTCTTTCCTGCCCAATTTTTGATCCTCACGGCGAACAGCACCATTTTCGGCATCGGTCTGTTATGTACACATTTATAGTCCTCCACCCATCGCAAGAAACACATGGTGCGCGGCTTCACGAAAGCTTTCGGTCAAAGTGCTAAAATGATCTGCCATTGTCGCTACCGTAAGCGGCGCCGTCCAGCTTCTCATTGGAATGAACGTCACTGTCGTTCCCAGAGTCTGGCCATAGTGGCGGATGGCGTTCCGAATTGTCCGT